ACAAGAATTTTGATTGTCCTGGGTTTCTGAAAGAGAGGTCATTTTTATTGATCAGTAACAGCTACAATGAAATCATCTTCTTTTGAAGCTCACAGCTCTAAAGGAAAAGTGTAATTGCAGTGTTTCAGAAAGGAGAGGCAGTCAATCTCATTAAATAAATCATTAACAGTTGGAAACTATTGGGAATTGGGAAAATTCAGGCCTTTTCTAATCCAATTAATTATGAATGTGACATTTATGCCATAAATGTGTAATGCTTGTTAATCCCTTAATAATCTTAGTCATTTAAAGAAAGAAGGCAACATTATAGGTGAACAGTGTGAATGTAAAATGCCTCTTAGCTTCCTAGTGTGATGTAATCGACTGTTTTGGGATCAGACGTTTTTATTTCATTAAAGCAAAAAAAGGGCACGTCCTGCTGACATCAGTGAGCAGTGTTTCATGAACAACTATTAAAACTTGTGGTTTAAACCAACAGTTCCAATTTACAAGCTGTTGTGAGTTCTTCTTAACATATTATTATGTATCTATTTCAGTATAACTTGCAATATTTTCCACAACTCTATAATTCCTGGTTCATATGTCAGAGTCACAAATAGAATAACCAAACTTACAAAGAGAGACATTTTCTAAAATGCGTATTTTATGTAGATCTACAAATTTATAGGAACAGTAAAACAACGAAACAGGAAGCAGGTCAGAAGCTAAAGATAGCGAGAGAAAGCACAGGGCCAGTGATTGGACATCGGGCTCATATTCCGGTGAAGATGTGTAGCCATCTCACTTCCATGATCATATTATAAAATTGAGAGGCTCCCACATTTGCTCTGTCTCTGTGCTCTGCAGGGAGTATGAGCAAAATTTTGCTGAAGGTATATGTGCAGCCAGCTTTCTGTTCTTAAAGGCAGTCTGTTCCTTTTAAAGGGAAGCTGCATTGAATAACAAAAAACTGTTACTGCTGTAGTTCGAAGGAAGATGGAAGGCCAGGGCAGAGACAAGGCTGCAGAATTACAGAAGCAGCTTTGGAAGCGTTAATGCTGGAAGCAGACAGGAGGAAAGGGGCCTTATTTCTGTGAAGAGTCCAGGACCCCCTCAAAGACAAACCTCAAAAGGAAGTTGAAACAGATGGCCAACGAGGTCAATTCCCTGTATGAATTAAAGAAATTGGCAGCAGTGTCACTAGAGGTCCAAGATCAGTGAATGCATCTTTTTGTTCTGATTTTTTTCTTTTCAGACACCCAGAACTGCAGCCTGTCCAGCAACAGCAACCACAGGTAGTGGAGATAGAGAACAATAGACGGGAGATGGTAACATAGTGGGGAGAGACGGTATAATAGTGGGGAGAGAAGGTTGCATATTGACAGTGTTAGTCAACAAATAATCATAATGCTCTGGAGACAGGGGTTCAAATCCCACCATGTTACCTGGTGGAATTTAAATTCATTTGATAAATCTAGAACTGAGAGCTAGTCTCAGAAATGGTCGCCATGAAATGGTCATCGAGTGCTGTAAACAAGCTGATCTGGTCCACTAATGTCATTCAAGGAAGGAACATTCCCACCTGGTTTGGCCCACATGTGAATTCAATGTGGATAACTCTGAACTCCCCTTTGAAATGACCTAGAAAATCACTCAGTTCAAATACAATTAGGAATAGACAACAAATGCTGGCCTTGCCAGCGATGCTTGCATTCCACAAAAGAGTAAAGAAAAGAAACTGTGTGCCGCTGATGAAGAGGCCCTGTCAGCTAATTTGGCATTTGTAGCCAGCAGCTAGGAGACTGACACTACGTGTACCTTGGAAACCTGTATGAACCATAACTGGGCTGCAATCATTCAGGGGTTAAAGGGTGGTTCATCTGCCATCCTATTGGAAGGTGAAGTAAACTACAGAAAGCTCAGGTACAGAAAACCCTGTATGATTCAACATACAGGAGGATGATGATCAGAAGCTCAGTGTTTATTGCCCATCCCCTGATTGTCCTTGAGTAGGTGGTGGTGAGCTGTTGCAGCCCATGTGATGTAGGGAGCTCCAGAATTTCAATGCAGTGACATTGAAGCAACAACAATTTATTTCCAAGTCAGGATGGTGTGTATTAAGCTTTATACAGCACCTTTCACAACGACTGGATTTCCCAAAGTGCTTCATTGCCAGTTAGTATCTAGTAACAGTTATTAGGAAGGCCACATAGCCAATTTACACATAGTAAGCTCCCACAAGCAGCACTGTGATAAGGACGAGATAATGTTTTTATGATATTGATTCACGGAGAGCAACAGCCAGGCCACCAATAATAATTCCCCAGACTTTTTTTTCACAATTGTCCTGAGAAAATATTACATTTACCTGGGAGATCAGACATTACCTCAGTTTGATTTGTTATCTAAAAGAGGGAGCTTTCAAAAATGCAACGTACAGTCAGTACAGAGTTTCTGTCTGGCTACATTTTCTACACCACAACACTGATTGCACTTCAAAACTATGCATTTGGCTGTAAAATATTTTGGAATGTCTGGTGGATTTTGTGCTCAAATCCTAAGTGAGTCTTGAATTTAGAACTCTATAACTTAGAAGTAAGAATACAACTAAACCATTCCTAGCACTTGGAGGTAGTGATGTTCCCATGTGCCTTTGTCCTTGCCTTCCCAAGTAGTAAAGGGTGCAGGTTTGGCAAGTGCTACCAAAGAGGTCTTGGTGAGGTGTTGCAGTGCATCTTATATATGATACATACATACTGCAGCCATTGTGTACTCGTGGAGTAAATCATTAAGCTGGTGGATGAAGTGCTGATCAAAAGGGCGGCTTTATTCCATGTGCTAGTAGGTTTCTTAAGTATAGTTGAACCATACTCATCCAGTGGGCCATCACATTCCAGACTTGAGTGTTGTAAACAGTGGAAATGATTTGGGGAATCATGCTGAATAACTCACTGAGAATTAGGATATCTGACATGGTATTTGCGTGGCTGGTGCAGTTAATTTTCTGTGATAAACTCCAGGACGGTGATACAGAGTGTATTTTTTGGGGGGTGGGTTGGGTGACAAGGGTTTGGAATTCAGTGTTTCATTGTGGTAATGCAGTTGAATGTAAAGACAAATTAATTTGACTGCCTCTTGGTTTAGATGACCATTGCCCAGTAATTGTGTGGCATGAATGTTATCGTCACTGATTGGCACAAGCCTGAATGTTGTCCTGGTCATGCTGCATATTAGCATGGACTGCTTCATGATGAGGAGTTGTAAATGGAACTTAGCTCCTTGTATTGCAATCAAATATCCTCACTGCTTACCTTTTGATGAAAGAAAAGCTGCTTCGTGAAGCAGCTGAAGATGCAAGACTCAAGCAAACTCAGCTGTGAAATTCTTGTGGCAATGTTCTAAGATTGAGATGATTGTGTTCCAGAAATCACAGCCACTTTCCTTTGGGAATATGTCAGGCCATGCAGTTACAAATTATGGTGGAATATGTTGTATTGCTATTGATAAACCAGTGTACCTCATGAATATCCAGTTTAATAATCACCCAGGAAAACCAAGGTGATTAAAAACCTGCGCTAACTCCTAACCCAGTTCTGAAGAAGGGTCACTAGACCTGAAATGTTAACTCCACTTTCTCTCCTGCCAGACTTGCTGTGTTTTTCCAGCAATTTCTATTTTTGTTTCTGACTCCTTGGTAACTATTCAAAATAAACCCATTGCCACTGAACACATCAACTAAACCACGCGCACCCCCCCTCCCCGGCCGATGCCTTCGACCCCACACATCCACTGTTCCCACCCCCACCCTCTCTGGCCTGACCTGTCCTCACTGAACCTGATGTCTACTCCACACCACTGCTACATATAACAACCTCCAATGTTCTGACAGGCCTTATTTCTGCACACTGACCCTGATACCCTCCTCCCAAATTGAGCCAACAGTATTTCTCTATCCCCGTACGCCTACAATCTAGTCCCACCTGAAATTGCTCCCCCCCACTGACACCTAACATCCAGCTCCCCCATCACTGGAAAGAACACATTGTGTCAACATACTGCCTTGACCCATACTAAACATTCATACACTTATAATCCACCTGGCACCTTCACCTCCCCCACTCACCTGGCACCCTGTCCCACCTTCCCCACTCACCTCGCACCCTGTCCCACCTTCCCCACTCACCTGCTACACTACTCCCACATTACCTTGCATACTTAGCTTTTTTGCAGAAGTTATCAAAGTCTCTGGACGTTTCAAACCACCAAATATCACTCCTGCTAAAAGGGCATGGTTTCAACCATTTTTGTTCTGAAGAAGGATCCAGACCCGAAACATCAGCTTTCCTGCTCCTCTGATGCTGCCTGGCCTGCTGTGTTCTTCCAGCTCCACTCATTGTTATCTCAGATTCTCCAGCATCGGCAGTTCCTACTATTTCATGGTTTCAGCCATTACTTTTTCTGCTGTTGGCTGTGAGAGTTTCTAAACAGATCTCTGCTCTCTCATCAGTAGCAGGAGGCTCCTGTCCAGGAATTTCTAGATTATAAGTCATCTAAATGTATCTGTACATTATTGTTTCATTTCATCAGGGCTGGAAGTAGGGTTTGTTCAAAATCAGCTCTGATGAAGAGTCACTGGACTTGAAATATTAACTGTGTTTTCTCCCCACAGATGCTGCAGACCTGCTGAGTTTCTCTAGCAATTTCTGGTTTTGTTATAGATCACCAACATCTGCAGTTTTTGTTTTATTTTATTTGTTCAGAATTTCTGGGCCATTATGGATAAATGATTGAGGGGATTGGGTATTTACACTCATTTAAGTTGATCTATCTGCCGGGTGATTTCCCGATAACCAGGTTGTTTTGTGATGGCTTTATAATTTGTGCCTCCCTCTGTTTAAGTCACTTAAAATGTTGTCAGACTTTTCAAAGATAATGTGTGCTTTCAGCCCCCTCAATAAATAAAGTTATTTGTGATATAAAATGTGGTTTTGTAACATTATGCTCTCTGATTTGGTCTTCAGGACTTTTCCAAAGAGCGATTATTCAGAGTGGATCAGCCTTATCCAGTTGGGCAGTGAACTACCAACCAGCAAAGTACACAAGACTACTAGCTGAAAAGGTGGGCTGCAACATGCTGGACACCCTTGACATGGTGGACTGTCTGAGGCAGAAATCTTTTAAGGAGCTTGTGGAACAGGACATCAAGCCAGCCCAGTATCATGTTGCATTTGGCCCAGTCATTGACGGAGATGTTATTCCAGATGATCCTGAAATTCTGATGGAGCAGGGAGAGTTTCTAAATTATGACATCATGTTGGGAGTCAACCAGGGAGAAGGATTCAAATTTGTGGAATGGATAGTGGATCACGATGATGGGATATCTGGAAGTGACTTTGATTTCACTGTTTCAAAGTTTGTGGATAACCTTTATGGCTACCCTGAGGGTAAGGATACGCTTCGGGAAACAATTAAATTCATGTACACTGACTGGGCAGACCGTGATAATCCTGAGACACGGCGGAAAACCTTGGTTGCTCTGTTTACTGACCATCAATGGGTGGAGCCTGCAGTGGTGACAGCTGATCTGCATGCACGTTATGGCTCTCCAACATATTTCTACGCCTTCTACCATCACTGTCAAAGTGACATGAAACCAGCCTGGTCTGATGCATCGCATGGTGATGAAGTACCCTATGTCTTTGGAATCCCCATGGTTGGACCAACTGATCTATTCCCGTGCAATTTTTCCAAAAATGATGTGATGCTTAGTGCAGTTGTCATGACATACTGGACAAATTTTGCCAAAACAGGGTAAGCAGCCTATTTATTTAAGCTAGTATTTAGTGTTTGGTAAGGATGGCATAAGAAAACCAACTGAATCATTTAGAAATATGCATGGAGAATATACTCCCTTTGCACTTAGTTTAGCACAGCATTGTAAGAGCTCCCTCTGCTGACTGATTGAAAAAGAATGCATTACAAGCATTGAGTCCAAGAGATGAAGAGGTCACTGGGGTTAAAGTTCAGCTTTATTGCACCAAGCCAATGGCCATAAAACAGGCAATGCATTGACACATTTAGGAATGACTAACAATGTGCCATATTTGTGCAGATACCCACACCAACGTTCAACATAACAGCACCTATTTGGGCAACAACAGAGGTTGCCTAACATAACTGCAGGCCTCATTTCAATATCAAAATTGAATTGTTGGGCCCAGAATTCAGTCCCAAATTCATTTCACATGCATGTTTATCTCGATCCATTTCTAAAATCTGTTTTATGTAATCAAATTTTGAAGTACCTTGTGACTGCTCTGCCAGGTTCTATAACACGTGTCTACAGAGTCAGTTTGGGTTGAGGTCCAGAACAAGAAAGGAGCAGTCACCTTGTTGTGGTTTTTTTACAGACCCCCTAACAGTTGCAGTGAAGTAGAGGAGCGGATTGGGAGGCAGATACTGGAAAGGTGCAGAAGTCACAGGGTTGTAGTCATGGGTGACTTCAACTTTCCAAATATTGATTGGAAACATTTTAGTTGTAGTAGTTTTGATGGAGCGGATTTTGCCCAGTGCGTTCAGGAAGGATTCCTGACACAGTATGTAGATAGACCAACACGAGGAGAGGCCACTTTGGATTTGGTGCTTGGCAATGAACTGGGCCAAGTGTTAGACCTGTTAGTAGGAGAGCATTTTGGCAGTAGCGATCATAACTCTGTTACTTTTACATTAGTCATGGAAAAGGAAAGGTACATACAGCAGGGTAAGCTTTATAATTGGGGGAAGGGTAATTACAATTCTGTTAGGCAAGAACTGGTAACATAAATTGGGAACAGATGCTGTCAGGGAAGAGCACTATTGAAATGTGGAGATTGTTTAAGGAACGCATACTGCGTGTGCTCGATATGTTTGTCCCTATCAGGCAGGGAAGATGCGGTCGAGTGAGGGACCCTTGGTTCTCAAGAGAGGTTGAACGACTGGTTAAGAGGAAGAAGGATGCTTATGTAAAGTTTAGGAAACAAGGAATGGAAAAGGCTCTAGAGGGATACAAGTTATCCAGGAAGGAACTGAAGAAAGAGCATAGAAGACCTATAAGGGGGCATGAGAAAACCTTGGCAGATAGGATCAAGGAAAACCCCAAGGCTTTTTACACTTACATGAGAAAAAAGAGAATGACCAGAGAAAGGGTAGGGCCGATCAAGGATTGTAAAGGGAATTTGTGCACAGAGCCTAAAGAGATAGGAGAGGTCCTTAATGAATTCTTTTCTTCGGTATTCACAACTGAGAGGGACCTAGTTGTAGACGAGGACAGTGTGAAACAGGCTGGTAGGCTAGGGAAGGTCGATGTTAGTAAGGAAGATGTGCTAGGAATTTTGAGGAAGTTGAAGATAGATAAGTCCCCTGGGCCTGATGGGATTTATCCAAGGATTCAATGGGAAGTGAGGGAAGAGAACGCAGGGCCTTTGGCGATGATCTTTTCGTCCTCACTGTCGACGGGTATAGTGCCGGAAGATTGGAGAGAGGCAAACATCGTTCCCTTGTTCAAAAAAGGGAATAGGGATAATCCCGGAAATTACAGGCCAGTTAAACTTACTTCAGTGGTGGGCAAATTATTGGAAAGGGCTCTAAGAGATAGGATTTCTGATCACTTGGAAAGGCACAGTTTGATTCGTGATAGTCAGCATGGATTTGTGAGGAGTAGATCATGCCTCACAAACCTTATTGAATTCTTTGAAGAGCTGACGAAACACGTGGATGAAGGTAGAGCAGTGGATGTGGTATACATGGATTTAAGTAAGGCGTTTGATAAGGTTCCCCATGGTAGGCTCGTGCAGAAGTTAATGAGGCATGGGATAGGGGGAAATGTGGCAGATTAGATTCAGAATTGGCTGACCCTTAGAAGGCAAAGAGTGGTAGTTGACAGAAAATATTCAACATGGTGCTCAGTAACGAGTGGTGTAACGCAAGGATCTGTCCTGGGTCCTCTTCTATTTGTGATTTTTTAAATGATTTGAATGAAGAAGTGGAAGGGTGGATTAGCAAGTTCGCAGACGATACGAAGGTGGGTCGCGTTGTGGACAGTGCGGAGGGCTGTTCTAGGTTACAAAGGGACATTGATAGGATGCAGACCTGGGCTGAGAAGTGGCAGATGGAGTTTAACCCTGAAAAGTGTGAGGTGATTCATTTTGGAAGGACAAACTTGAAAGCAGAATACAGAGTTAACGGAAAGATTCTTGGCAGTGTGGAGGAGCAGAGGGATCTTGGGGCTCATGTTCACAGTTCCCTGAAAGCTGCCACCCAGGTGGATAGAGTTGTTAAGAAGGTGTATGGTGTGTTAGCTTTCATTAATAAAGGGATTGAGTTCAAGAGCCGAGAAGTTATGCTCCAGCTGTACAAAAGCCTGGTTTGGCCACGTCTGGAGTATTGTGTCCAGTTCTGGTCGTCTCATTACAGGAAAGATGTGGAAGCGTTGGAAAAGGTGCAGAGAAGATTTACCAGGATGTTGCCTGGAATGGAGGGAAGGTCTTACAAGGAAAGGATGAGAGAGCTTGGACTTTTAGAATGACGAAGGATGAGAGGTGACTTGATGGAGGTGTAGAAAATGATCAGAGGTACAGATAGAGTGGACAGCCAGAGACTTTTTCCTAGGGTGGAGGTAGCTATTACGAGGGAGCATAATTTTAAAGTGAGTGGAGGTAGATACAGGGGAGACGTCAGAGGTAGGTCCTTTACTCAGAGAGTGGTCGGGGCGTGGAATGCATTGCCGGAGAGGGTAGTGGAGTCGGCCTCATTCGGGGCATTTAATCAGCTATTAGATAGGCATATGGATGATAGCATAAGGTAGTGATGAAGATTAGATAGACCTTAGGATTAGGGTAAAAGTTTGGCACAACATTGTGGGCCAAAGGGCCTGTACTGTGCTGTACTGTTCTATGTTCTATGTTCTATAACATATCAAATATGCCACGACAGGGTGTGGACAATAACCAGGTGGTAATCGATTTTAAACATGCCTTAATGTGGAGCCAGCAGGAGCAGGGCTCCCTCACTTCAAACATCTGCATTCTGCTTCCTGAACTTCTCCATAGTCATGGTCAACATCAGAAACAGATGAAACTAGGTCCCTAGATCCTGACAGGAGTCTGGTATTTCACCTAATTGGCGATTTTTACGTAAAGCCAGATAGTGTCAGTAGGTTAGTTGAATGTTGAATGAATATCTATGTAAAGCCATATTCTACTCTAACCTGACATCCACTGAAGTGCGTGTTGGCAAAATGTTTACATCTTGATAAGAGTGGAAATCCCACCTGATGTTGCTCGCTTTACTTTTGAGGAAGGATATTACTTTTAGCCTCTCTATTTGTCATCCCTTTGGAGGTCAATAAATACAGAACTCTAGGTGATAATTCTCAATTATCAATTTAACATGATTGGTTATTGGAGCGGGGTTGGAGATGTTAATCTGGGTGCAACTTGGGCTGCAGTGCTACAAAATTGTATTTCGGCTAACCTCTCCAGTTCTGGTGTTTTAATTCTTGTTCTATCTCGAGGCCAAGCACTAATCTATGCTTCCAAAATTCAAGAGGGTCTCAGAACTATAGGTATGTGGTGAGTAGAAGCAGCTTCTGATGTCCATGTTTGAGCAAAAGTAGAAAACGTTTATGACAATGTGTGACTTGTGACAATAGGGTACACAAGCTTGGTCAAGTATCCAGGTAAAATGTACCACCTAAGTTTAGGTGCAACTTATGACTGCTGGAAACAAGACAAAACCCATTAGAATAATTGTCAATAAATACCAACTAATTCAATGTCATGTTGACAGTACAAATACAGGAATCTCAGAGAAAGCCTTATTCTCAGATTTACAGAACCTGACAGTTTCGTTTATGAGTAAGGATATTATTGCAATTTTTTTTGTTCGGTAGCTACATTGTAAATGTTACTCAAGAGAGTGCTTCAATTCATTGGCACAATTTTTATTTTAGTCAGCTGTTTGCCTAGCTTCTGGCTGGTTTCATTTGTAATTTTACTGGCTAGGCATTGCTCATTGCCTTTGTACAGATTTTAACTTACATTGCAAAAGTGTTTGAAGTTATTTATAGTGTGCCTGTCAACGTTTGAGATTTATTTCCTATTTGGTGTAGGAGAGATTTTAGTTACTTAAGATATTGCTATCAAATTAAATTTGTCAAACAGGGGATTAATTCTGCACTAAGCTATCTGGTAGTATGGTTTAAATCTAGTAGCTATACTCAGCTGAAGGACTTAACCAAAGAGTGTGCCTTAAGTACCACATCAAATGGAAGAAAAAATAGATGTTGGAATGCAAGTAGTAAGGATGACAGAGTCCTCAAAGGGATGCTTGACAATGAAATATAAAGTGGGAAAATGTGAGGTTATGCACTTTGGCAGAAAGAATAGGGGAATTGAATATTATTTAAATGAAGAAAGATTGCAGAAAGCTGTAGCACTGAAAGATTTTGGGATTCTCATGCATGATTGCAAAAGGTTAGCATCTAAGTTTGCAGGTAATAGGGAAGGTAAGTAAGAATGTTGGTCTTTATTTCAAAGGGAATTAAATATAAAAGTTTTGCTAAAACTATGAAAGGCACTAGTGAGACCACAGCTGGAATACTGTGAATTGTTTTGGGCCCCTGATCAAAAGAAATCTGTACTGACGTTGGAGACACTCCAGAGAAGGTTAACTAAATTACCTAGCTAAACCGCAGGTTTGAATGTATTTTCTTAAAAGGTGAGGTTAAGTAGTTTGGGCTTGTACTCATTGGAGTTTAGAAGAATGAGGGGAAA